CGCCTGGGGCCCCCTAGGCCTGTCTCATGCTCCGTGTTCTAGCCTCTTAGGAGGGTGCCTGGTCTCGCACTCGGAGTGTGTGGGGGGGGGATGTAGTGGAAGCTTGACACTGGTTATATTGAAATATTTGTATTTTTTTTTACTTTAAATTAGGATATTTGATCAAACATTTCACAGTTACATCCAAAATTATCTTGTATTTTTTGAATAATTATTTTATTTTATTTTAATTTCGACCGATCGTGCACAGCATTACCTGAGAAGGTGTTAACATATTTTCCAAATATTTTTTTTTTAAATCCAATTTCGAGCGACCGAGCAAGAAATATTTGATATTGCGGCGGGCGTTTTTATGAATATTAATATATATTTTCGAGCGATCGTGCATGTATGTACTGAGCCACTACCACTTTCCTTCCCAAAATGGCTCATATTCGGTTGTTTTATAAAACTGACCAATGAACAAGAATTTGACTTCAGCTGACTCCAGTCTAAAAAAAACTCTTCGTATGAAGCCTGGTGAACTCGTGTAAGTTGTCAGAATGTCAGAAACATGTCTGAAATCCCGATCAAAATTCGCACACCTCTGAAAGCTGAAGTTCCGAAAACTTGACCTAAAATGGATGGCCTGGTTTCTACAGAATGTCAGAATGAGTTTTCAGCGTTCAGAGGTGCGCGAAATTCGATCAGGTTTTCAGACAGATTTCTGACGTTCTGAAAAGATTTACATGAGTGGGGTTTCGGGACCAAGAGAGCAATTTTTTCCTGCCCACGTGGTGTTATCGTTCCGTCAAAAGGGGAAGAAACCGCGCAGACTATTAGGACCGGCTGTTTTGAAGCTGTGGATTATATAGTCAAGAAGTGGCGTGTAAAAGGGTGAAAATAAGTCAGAAGCTTACATTTGGTTACTATTACACCTTGGGATGTGCCCTAATACCGACGTTAAAACCCTCAATAGCCAGCGAGCCGTAACAAAACTTGAAATCCCAGAACGGTGCCTATTTTTCAGGTATGCGGGGTCAGGGGTTGGTGGTGACCACCATTCTACACAGAATTACTTGAATTCGGAGATAAGTTATTGTGAGGAGTCGTTGGTCGGGGTTACTATCAATTTTATGGCCAACATAGCCCTATCCTATGCACGCTTTATTTCGTAGTAGCAAAATTAAAACGGTAAACCGCGTTTTCCTGAGGGCTTGAGTTTTCTGGTCTCAAGTTAGGTGGTCTCTAGGGAAACGTCTGAAACGGACTACGAGAAGAAACGTTGAGAACTTAAGAGTGTATTGGGTATACACATGGAGCGAGTACACACTTAACTTGGTAGTGTCTGCGCCAAGGCTGGATTTGCCGGCACGAGCGAGCACTGAGCAGCCGCGAGAGTCCCGTGTTTATCTCACGCTCACGATAAGTGTCAAACAGCTTTGAGCACGTAATGTGCTGTGCCCGATGAGCTCTAATTTATTTTCTGTAATGTAAAAAGCCTAAGAAATATTTGCTTCGTAATACGAAGAATAGGGTATTTCTGCGAATCGTGCACACTAAATGTTAAGTACAATTTTGTACGAGACGTCATAGTTTTTGGTGCACACGAACTTTTCGTACAATTTTCGTACGAAAAACTGCACATTTTCCGCCATTTTTGTACAATTGTACAAACTATTGTACAAATTTGTACGAAAAGTTCGTGTGTACAAAAAACTGTGATGTCTCAAAGAAAATTCGTACAAAAACATTTAGTGTGTGAAACGGAAGGAAGAAGTACACCAGTAAGTGCACAACTTCCGTCCCCTCGCCTGAAGAGGGGTAAAGACGGCTGCCCCTGAACCCCTCCTCAGGCGAGGGGACTGAAAGTTGTACACTTACTGGTGTACTTCTTCCTTCCGTTTCAAGATTCGCGAAAATACCCTATTCCTGCTTATTGCGAAGAAAGAGCTTTGTAGACATTTCCGAGTGCGGAGGACTTTAGGGACGTCCACAAGGCAGGGTGACGTGCAGTGCTCCCACACCTAGAAAACAGAGACACCACTGAACCTCTGTTGTTGCGCTACCGCCTCTGGCTCGCGAGCTTGGCCCTCATCACATCTTGCGTAACGCGACTTGTCTTCTGACTCAAAGGAGACCGTAGATCCTGGGACTTATTTGAGTAGATTTATTTGAGTTTAGTCTCGCCTGGCCAGTCAAACGCAAGGTAATCCATGAGTTATCTCACGAGGGAATTTCGGAAGGTGTACATATTCGAAACTTAACACGCGAGCGGTTGTTTTAACAGTGCGGTAGTTTTATAAGCCTGCTCCACAGAACACTTGAGCAGGGCTTCTTACTTCCAATCAGTTTGCGACCTTTCCATTTTGTTAGTCTCTTCCTGTTGCTCTACAAATCGTAAAGCGTACACTGTACGCTCTACGGAATATGACGGCCGAGCATGCACCTGCTAGAGCTTAAATGCCATGCACACGCTGACTGAAGCATACATCTAGTGCATAAGGGATAGGGAGTTGTCTGCATCAGGAAGCGTGCACTAGTAAGTGCACGCTTGACAGGCATGCGCTAGCTAGAGCGTGCTTGCAGGCATGCTCCAGGCGGAGCATACAATGTTACGCTTTTCGATTTGTAGAGTGGTTGTCGTTGACGATTTCACGCTTACGAATCACTGATCTAAATATTTTTTTAGCTACCTTCCGTTCAACACTTTGCCTTCTCGGAACTGCTAGTAGGACTGTCTCAAATTTTGAACTTCAGGGTTGATCAAAGTGAAGCCCGGCAATTCAGGTACACATTCTGAGCTTGTTACCTTTTTCGTCGGAGTTTTAGATGTCCGACTTAAGGTATTATCCCTGTTACGCTTTCAAGTAGCTTTTCATATTACAAAGTATTTTGAGCATACGTAAGCTTATATAGAACATACAGTAAGTTCGGAATTTACGAACTATTTCTTCCTATAACGAACTAGATTAGGTTGTACTGTGTGTGCTCACAATACTTCGTAAGGTTTTAAACGTGCGAAAATGCCGTTACGGCCATCCTACGACTTCCCCGGGGAAGTCGTGGAAATGGCCGCTACGGTCGAGGCTAGAAATTTCGCCGAAGACGGTCCAAAAGTTCCGTAATATTCGGAGAACTGAACGAGGGGTGAATGTCTCAGCGTTCTGGTGTACACATGAGTACATGAGAACGGGTGAGTACACCTTACTTTGCTCACAAATTTCGCATTTGTAAACGTTTAAAGGCTTTATTTAGCGTTTTGACACTCAACGCCAAATCAAGCGAAAAAGTACTGATTTTCACACTTATTAAACTTGTGAGTACACTGAGTACGGGCAAATTTGTACACATGAGTACACTAGTGATTCACCCCTCGGAACTGAAGCTATGACGCCACGATTGTGACCGTTACGCATGCTTCTACGGACAATGGCCCGACTCTTGCTCGAGTGCGCCCGCCTTCGGACATTTCCATCGATGGACCCTATGAACAAAGACCGATGTCTTTTGGGTCGCTCGAACAAAGACCGATCTCCTTCGGGTCGCTCCAACATAGACCGATCTCCATTTCGGCCGTTTCTGCATTCGTCGCTTTTTTATCTTGTGGTTCTCGCAACAGACATCCAACTCAAACAATAGTTTGCAGGTTGTGTTCCAAACATGGGGAATGATTATTTTAAACTCATTTGTGTGGAATCAAAACGTAGAGATTGTTCTTGAGACTCCAAAATGAACGCGTTGAGAGGTTAGGTAATGGAGATAGGTCTTTGTTCGAGTGACCCGAAGGAGATCGGACTTTGTTCGAGCGACCCAAAGGACATCGGTCACTGGTACTTTGACAAAGTGACGAAAGTCCACAATCTCTTATTTTTCAGGAGAGTCAAAACAAGTCTAAAATTTGAGCTGCAAAATAGAGTTCTGGGATTTGATGGTTGAGTTTAACACCATAGAATCCTGAAGGCATGAGTGTTCTTTAGGTTCAAGAGCCATTGCAATCGGCAGCTTAGTTCCCGAGATAGTGGACATTCGCCATTTCTCAGCGTACGAAAATTAGGTCAAAACGACGAAAGTCCAACAGTACTTTGACAAAACGACGAAAGTCCAACCGTACTTTGATAAAACGACGAAAGTCCATACGTAATTTGACAATATGGCGAAAGTCCACCTTTACTGCTAACACAAATTAAATGAAACTTTTCAACTCTGGCATGTTTTATGTTCATGCCGTCACTGAACTCATGAATAATTATCTTGATTGGAAAGCAATAGTTAACTACGACCGGTTTTTGCAGTTGGGACTTTCGTCATATTGTCAAAGTACGGTTGGACTTTCGTCGTTTTGTCAAAGAACGGCTGGACTTTCGTCATTTTGTCAAAGTACAGTTGGACTTTCGTCATTTTGTCAAAGTACGGCTGGACTTTCGTCATTTTGTCAAAGTACAGTTGGACTTTCGTCATTTTGAAGTATTTTCCTACGCTGAATCTATTAGAGATATCGACATATGCTTTTCACCAGTCGACAGAAAATCAAAAGTTCTAGAACGCAGCCAAAAATCTCATTTTATCAAAATTTTGGACTTTCGTCACTCTGTCAAAGTATCAGTGCTTTGTTCATAGGACCCATCGCCATGTACGTTGAAAGTTCCGAGGGAAGTGTATTCTGATGCTTGTATCAATGTTAAAAATAAATTCGGAAATCCCGGGCAGTACGATACGAACACTCCAAATCTAAAGGCGGTAATATTTCCACCCTTTACTGGCGGTAATTTTGTATTGGCGGTGTCCACGTTTTACCGCCAATACGAAGGCGGTACAGAAATTACCGCCCCAACAGAACTGTTTGTACCTCCTTTCGAGAGCTTTACCGCCTTTTTCTTGGCACTCTGAGGGAACGTTACGGGCGGTAATATTTTGTACCTCCTTTTACGCACCATCTAAACGGCGCGCAATTGGCGGTAATACACTGTACCGCCGTTTTCCCTTCGGTTTGTAGGGTGCGTAATTGGCGGGCTCCAGATTTTACCGCCAATAGGGTACTTTCGTAGATCCTGAACCGGAAGCAAGCCGACCAGCAGACGCCAAATTGGCCGGAAACTAACCTCTCTTCGGATCTAAAACTATAGCCGATCTGTACAAAATTGCTCGCGAAACACACATGCACTGCAAGCAAGTATCAAACGACTGTTTATGTTCAAGTGTGCCCGATACGTTTGACTAACGTCTCTTTCCCATGTCAAGTTTGGATCTACTTCCGCCAACATGGCGTCTGTGTGCTTCCGGTTCAGGGATCTACGAAAGTACCCTATACGAAAGCGGTACACGTTTTACCTCCTTCGCCACACCGTGTGTACCGCCCATAGATTTGTAGTGAAGCTTTGACGGGATTTGTCGAACACCTGAAATGATTTTGTACAAATTTGTTAGAGGCATTACAGTTTCTTGAGTAGAAATGATGGTCACGTCTACGAATTTCGGTTTAGGCTCTTGAGCAGTTAAAAGTTGAAAAAAGTTGTGATTTTAGTGAAAATTATAGCAAATGTCGCCTCTCAGTCACGTGTGGCGTATGGTATGGGTTAAGAAAATTTGTACATCGCTGGCAGACAGTTGAATTTTGTCGTGCGGCGAGCCAAGGGCGTATCAAATGACCCTCCAAAATTTCAGCCGGATCGGCCGAGCCGTTCGGGAGTAGGATACCAACAGACGGTCGGTCAACAAAGAAACAGTAAAGGTTTTTCAATCCCACCCGAGTTACGGGCTTCGCTATCCCTCAGTCAAGAAGTTCTGCATAGGGATGACCCCATATTAAATAAAATTTAAGTCAAAGTCATCCTAATGCGTAATTTTTCTATCTCTAGTCGTTTGCGAGATACAGAATTAACGTTAATGGCAAGAGTGTAATGTTAGCACGCCCTGCTCGCAGACCATGGAGTGCCAGGTGTGCCTGGAGCAATTCAACTTGGTGGAGCGTCGGCCGAAGGTCCTTCCATGTGGGCACTCGTATTGCTTGAAGTGTCTCCAGCAACTTCCGACCAAAGTGTGTCCCCTGGACAAAAAGGTACGTGTAGCAGTGTTGGTTTGCCGTGTCATTTTGGTCCCAGAAGGAGGAGTTCTCTTTAGCATACTCAGTTCACATGAGCAGGGTTGTTAACCTCAATTTAAAGGTTTACGACGTTATCGTTAAACTTAATGCAGGCACATACTTCTTATCTGCATGCCTGGCACTGGCAGGCGCACACTTTTTTGCCGCATGCCTCAGGCACACCACTTACCGCCGAATGCATGCATACAAGCAAGTGTGTGCCTAAGGCATGCAGCAAGGAAGTGTGTGCCTACAGGCATGTACCAAGAAGTGCATGCCTGGCACACACTTGAGTTTACAGAGCATGTTCCAAAAAGAGATGAGTCTTATTGTTTTTCCCCTGTCTAGGAATTCCTCGCCGCCCCAGAAGAGTTGGTGGACAACTTCTCGCTGCTTGACACTCCCAACAGGTGAGCTTGTGGTGCGGCGACTCTCACACTAAGTCCCTTCAGGCGAAATCCCTAATGCTTGTCTTGCATGATGTAAGAATTTAAAAAACAAAATTAAGACAAAGCACTAGTTACCAGTTGCTGCATTCATGTCATGATTTAAAGCCATCAATTCACTTTTGAAGATGATAGCGCGATTTCAAACTATTGTACTTAGCACTTTCTAGTAAAAATTCATTTTTAAATTATGTCGCAAAAATCAGAATGTTGATGAAAAGAGATTTGTGCGAAAACAAGACTAGAAGAATCCAATTAGGGGGAGGAGGGGGGGTAAAGAGAAGAAAATCGATTTTCAGTTTTTGCTTTTTTTCGACTCTTTGGGCCTTAGTACAACCAAACCTGACCATATTTTGACCCACAGCACCGTCAAATCGGCATAGGGAGCTTTAAATTCGTACAATCACTGTGAGGTTAGGTTAGGCCCTTCAACTTAAAACCGCGGTTTTTCTCGTTAACTTTTTTTGGACCTTGCGCGCAGGATATCTCGGAGACCATAAGAGGTAGAATGTTGTGCGATAGCTTAAAATGATCAGTGTTCAAATAGCTAGAAGACAAGGGAGAGTTTTTGTCAAGAATGTGTCTCAATCTTTAGTTACAGGTCAATGAATGTCCAAAAGCGGCATAAAAACAGTCATAATTCTAGTTTTCAAGATTAAGACCGAAAGAAAACATGTTTTTGAAATCCGGCTCCCTTGTTTTCCTTCATTTTGACCATAAAAAGATGTTGCAACTTCGTCAGATTTTTAGGACAACATTTGGATTTGAAATCCTGCGCGCAAGGATTAAAACCCAAATATGGACCAAATCTAAAATGTTTGCGGAAATTCAAAAAGTGCCACCAGACGCGCAACAAAAGATGGTTTAATGGTAAAAAGGCATGGAGAATCCAATGGTGATGTCCATTTTCATGTCAGGGAGACAAATATGTAAGAAAAGACGGCTGAAAAAACATGGAAAAATTCGAAATTTTACTTAACGCCCCCCTTTAAGATATTGTAACAGCCACGGCAAAAACGGTTCCTAGATACGCTCGGCCACTGGGCCTGCCCCAGACGGGCCAACAACGGGATTAGCCCGCGGACACGACCCGTTCATTTTGCACTATTAGGATAAATTTATATACTTCTGGCACCGCGATGAGACGAGGGAGCAATTAAAACATTCGATTTGATACATTTGGAATCCCAGAAGTTCACCCGTTGCTGTGTATGGTGAGTGACACCTGTCACGCTGTGCACTTTGACGTGCTTGCAGCTTGCGAGCACTCCAGGATGAGCGAGCATTGTGGTTTACTCCCAGGTGGAGCATGCCATGCACCGTTTTGGTTTTCCATAGAAGTCGCTGGGTCGTTCATTTGTTTCCAGGCCGCACTGCAAGAAAAAGTGTGAATAGCACAACAAAAGTACAACAAAAACTGTACAATAAAAGTACAACGGGGATTGTACAAAGTACAATGGGAATTGTACAAACCACACGTCCTGGACTGCCCAGCACTCGTAATACCAGTTCCATTGTACTTTGTACAACTACTTTGAAAGTACAATAAATTCCTGATAAAAAATTTGCCAGTGATTGTACTTTTGTTGTGTTTTTTTTTCTTGCAGTGCGCCACGCTTCTGGTGCGTCTCGTGCAAGAAGGAGGCGTCGGCCGAGTGTGTGGAGGACCACGCCGTGCGCAGCCTCAAGAAGGAGCGAGCCGCGGAGGCGGAGCGGCACCTGGAGGCGCTGCAGCAGGGCAAGGAGGGCCTGTCCAAGCTGCAAGCAACGCTGGTGTCCGCCTACCACTACTGAGTAACTCCACCCCAAGGTGGACCGAGATCTGGGATTGGGTCACGGATTCGGTTCAAACTTTGTGGGTTCAATAGGTACCACTAGGACCTATCAACCCTAAAAGGAAAGTTGGCTAGCTCAAATAGAACCTGAGATATTTGCATTTTTCTACATTTGGCTAATTTAGCGGAAAAATGTCGCTTTCTGATTTTTTAATGGTAAAAGTTGTTTGCTTAGTTCTGGCTTATGTTTCTTCTTTCTAGTCATAAAAAAAGAAGAAAAATGGTGGTAGGCCAAGTTTTGTACGTTGCTTGGTTTGGCCTACTCAAGCAATTTTGTCGAATTCATCGAAACTCTGATACCCAAAATACTCCACCTTGGATTTGACCCTGGTAAGTCTCATTTCACTTATTTTACTCTAATAAACAATTGCTATATAGTCCCTTGCACCAACAACTCCATATAAGCCAGAAAAATAAAAAACACAATTTTTCAATTTTCTACTTTGACCTATTTTTGTTGCTTTTGTCAAGATTAGGGCTTCTACATGATCTTAGGTGACAGGGAAGACCCTCCCTGCCCTCAAGTATGATTGTATCAACACAGACAAAGAGACCCAAACTCAAGGTGCACTAAAAATTTATAAGGAAATTGTTTCGAGCAAATTTTGCAAGTTTACGAGGGGTGTGAGGAATTTAAATCGGAGGAAAATGTGATGCTTCAGCCAAAAGTGGATTTGTGGTTCATTAGTTAGCTTTCTCTGGTAGGATTGGTGCTCTTTTAACCATGAGAATGTTCCTCCTTGGTAATCAGTGATAAAACCCTCATTCGATATAGGGTTGTTGGACTTACGATTTCAACGCATTAACAAAGTAATGACCCATTTATTTAGGTTGTTTGCAACGTATAAGTTCAACCGCTTAGTCTCAATAACTCAGCCTGGTTCCATTTGGTTTGTTAATTTTTGAGACCAACTGGATTACTACAGACCAAGGGGTTCAGCTTACACGTTGCGAACAACCAAAATAAATGGGTCATTACTTTGTTAATGCGTTGAAATCGTAAGTCCAACAACCCCATACCGAATGAGGGTTTTATCACTGATTATCAAGGAGGAACATTCTCATGGTTAAAAGGGCACCAATCCTACTAGAGAAAGATAACTAATGAACCACAAATCCGCTTTTGGCTGAAGCATCACATTTTCCTCCGATTTAAATACCTCACATCCCTCGTAAGCTTGTAAAATTTGCTCAAAACAATTTCCTTATAAATTTTTAGTGCACTTTGAGTTTGGGTTTCTTTGTTTGTGTTGATACTATCTAAATGGAGGGCAGGGAGGATCTTTCCTATCACCCAAGCTCATGTAGAAGCCCCAACCTTGACAAAAGCGACAAAAATAGGTCAAAGTAGAAAATTGAAAAATGTGTTTTTGATTTTCTGGCTTATATGGAATTGTTGGTGCTAGGGACTATATAGCAATTGTTTATTAGAGTAAAATAAGTGAAATGAGACTTACCAGGGTCAAATCCAAGGTGGAGTATTTTGGGTATCAGAGTTTCGATGAATTCGACAAAATTGCTTGAGTAGGCCAAACCAAGCAACGTACAAAACTTGGCCTACCACCATTTTTCTCCTTTTTTTATGACTAGAAAGAAGAAACATAAGCCAGAACTAAGCAAACAACTTTTACCATTAAAAAATCAGAAAGCGACATTTTTCCGCTAAATTAGCCAAATTTAGAAAAATGCAAATATCTCAGGTTCTATTTGAGCTAGCCAACTTTCCTTTTAGGGTTGATAGGTCCTAGTGGTACCTATTGAACCCACAAAGTTTGAACCGAATCCGTGACCCAATCCCAGATCTCGGTCCACCTTGGGGTGGAGTTACTCTACTTCGACCTGGAGAAATGCTTGGAAAAGCTCCAGCGGGAAATGGCTGATCTGGACACGGCCCGGGAGCGCGTGCAGGACGCGATGGAGGCGGACTCCGGTGGCTGGGAGCGGGCCAAGGAGACTGCAGTGCCAGGAGGTAATATACTGTTAATAAACGTTGTTACACGACAACAACACAATTACCAACCTCGACAACGCTGTTGTTCAAAAGTGAGTTTACAAACAACGAATTTGTTCCTAATTATTTTTTTTTACTAATGCTGTTTTAAAACAATCTTTTGCTGTGTGCTCTGGAAACTCAAGTGTGTGCCAGGCATGCACGTCTTGGTGCATGCCTGCAGGCACACGCTTCTTTTCTACATGCCTGGCAGGCACATACTTCTCTTCTGCATGCCTGGCAGGCGCACACACTTCTTGTTGCATGCCTCAGGCACACATTTGCCGTCGCTAATGCATGCATACAAGCAAGTGTGTGCCTGAGGCATGCAGCAAAGAAGTGTGAGCCTGCCAGGCATGCAGAAAAGAAGTGTGTGCCTCCAGGCATGCACCAAGAAGTGCATGCCTGGCACACACTTGAGTTTGCAGAGTGCTCAAGGTAGGTGTACGCCAGACAGTGGCTTGTAACGGGCTTCGCGATACTGCGTCAGCTCCGACAATCCACGCCTGGCGTTTACACCTACCTTGGCCTGCGGCGCTGGCCTGCCTTCGGCTGACTCTCTCGCCACACATCGCCACACTAAGAGACCCGATTGCACGTCAAAGCATCATTCGGTTCGAACCTTTATGTTGGGGGGTTCCGCCCCCCAGACCCCCATTTCAAGTATGGGGCGGGGCGGCAAGGTTGGTTCGCTGGGCAAACTGCATGACATTTTCTGTTGGACACCCCTCAAATTCTGGCTAGCTTTTGTCCCATTAGGACTCCCACCTGGGTCAGAGGTCGAAATAGATTCCATTTTTATTACCAGCACCCTCCAAAACATATGAAATGATGTACAACTTAACATGACAACATATGTGAGTAAAAAGTTAATTTTTTCTTTGCCGTTTTAAGTGTTTTTTGACTGTAATGACCACATGGATTGAGGTAGAAAGCTGCATTTTGGTGTGTGGCGAGCCAACAGGGTGTGCTAACTTAACACTTATTTGCGATTTTTGACATTTTATTTCGTAAGCGGCTGGAAATAAAAAAGTTATGCATAGAATAACTTAAATTCAAAGTCAAATTTTAAATTTAAGTTACCCTGTGCATAACTTTTTAACCTTTTGTCGTTGACGAGATAAAGGCACCCAAAATTTCAATAAATGTTAAGTTAGCACGCCCTGCGAGCCAAGGACATACCTAATGACCCTGCAAAATCTCAGCCAGATCGGCCGAGCCGTTCAGGAGTAGTGCACATACACACGCGCACGCTCACATGCACACTCTCAGACTCGTATTGACTTTTTATCTTTTGCCATAAAGGTTTTTGTGCAAACGTAATATGTAATATTTTCTTTTTTGCTATGCACTATTTTGTTCATTGTGTAATGTTTATAGTCCATTAAACCGGACTTAATGTCATTTGCAATGTACTTCTCAATTTCTACATGATATATTGACAATTATATCCCTAAAACGATCAAAATTGTGCATAGTTAAGGAGAAAATAGGACATTTTACGTTTGCTCAAAAACCGCTATAAGCAAGAGAGAAAAAAGTCCTTATAGGTCTGAGCGTGCAGACAGAAAAAGTTTTTTAACCCCACTGGAGTAACGAGCTTCGCCATCGCTCAACCAACAAACAACCGAGACTATGTAACTAGTGATCACATCGGGTCACTGTGACTTAACTAATTCTGTGACTAAATCGGCAATCAAAATTGATGCTCACAAGGCTGCCACAACCTGGCCAAAGAGTCCACTGAACGTGGTGTCTGCCAGAACCGGACATCCGTCGCACCCACTGAGAATGAATGGGTCACCACCCTTTAAATGGGTGATGCAACTTCGTTGCCTAATTTTGGGTGAAGAAATATTCATCACCTGAAATTTGGTAACCGGCGTTAGGTCGCCACGGTAACGTCGTTGGCGACGCCGTGAGGTCCCCGATGACCGCTATGTGGCGTTGAGGCCTCAGGGTCTCACGGCACGGCGGCCTCAACGCCACATAGCGGTCATCGTGTTGGCCCCGGAAGGACGCGGCGTCATCGACGTGACCCAAATTTGGGCGATCTAACGCCGCTTACCAAATTTCGGGAGATGAATATTTCGTCACCCAAAATTGGGCGACGAAGTTTCATCACCCATTTAAGGGGTGGTGGAGGTGATCCATTCATTCTCAGTGCCGTTAGGAATTGTAATCTGCATGAACTTCGGGCGACCCATGAAAGACTCGGTCTAATATCGTGTCCTGCAGGATTAGCCAGGGACGCTGTGCGTTTGCTGGCCGACCTGACGGACCCGTCGGTCGAGTGCAGTGTCACGGTGCGCCGCGGCGACGTCGCGGCGTGGGAGGGGGTCGTGAAGCCCGCGGGGAAGCCCGAGGCCAGACTCCTGCTGTGCCGACTGGCGTGCTTCGGACAGCTGAAACAATCTGCCCAGCAAGACGATCACCGCGATGTTGGTGAGTACCCGCAATGTCCGCTAATGGCCTCAAAATGGCTTCAAAATTGAAGCGTTGGGTCGAGCAATAAGTTTGAAGACGTTCCGCTGGAAATGAAGCATCGACCAGAAACACCCACATGATCACGCATGCATTTAGTTAGGGGAAATCTGGTCGGATTAGCCACTCTTTATTTCTAGCGGAAACGGACTTACGTTTTGTTTTATGACTTTGCAGCAGTGCCTTTGGTTGCTTATTGGTTATTTTCCGCAGCAGTACACTGGGAAGAGAGCACCAACACTGCGAACATACCCGGGGCGCTCATGAAGCCCTCAATGGTGATAGGCAGCAGAGTGGCGCGCGTCTGGAGACATGGCCAGTGTGGCTACGAGAAGTACAAGGACTTCGAAGGCACACCTCCAGGGCCTGGAATTGTGACTGCGTTTTGCTATGATGGAGATGCGGTCAGTGTGAAGTGGCACCGCACTGGCCTGGTCGGCACGTATTGGATGAAGCCTTTTCATTACGACCTCCGTCCGCTGCCACCGCAAATGGTAAGCAGAGGAGGAGCAAAACTTTGGACCCACGCCACTAAAGAAAAAAGTGGCGAACGGCACGCCAACGGCTCTGTATTTAATTTTAATTGCAGTATATTAACATCGACATGCATAATACTGAATCAATAATTCTTGGGCAATTTTTTTTGTTTAAAACCTTTGTTGTGTATGCTGTTTGAAAACAGTTCCGCCTTTGCGGGGGATCGTTACACATCCAAACTGGTGCAGCAATGGATTTTGTGGTCCATGGTATTGTTTTTAGTCCTGGGCTTGCTCACATCCGCGTGTGACGTTACGCGGTGACGTGGGACGACGCGAATAATTGCCCCTGAAATCTACAACTTCAATGCTTCAGTCTCAAAATGTAGTGTGTCTTGAAAATGGAGCGGTGTGGAACTTTTTTATAGTTTATCTCTAATTACGGTATTACCTTTCGACAATTTAACACAAGACGCCAAATTTTTCGAAGTTGTACGTGATGTCACACAAGTTGCGTATGATTCTGTGCACACTAAATTACTACTTAGTTTTTTTTTCATAAGCTTTGCACATAACTGAGCATGCGCGTGGAACGCACGAATTAATGTGCAACAACGCGACTTTCGTGTGCAGTCACGCACTAACTCGTGCATTATAAAAGAAATTTAAAACTATGATCATAGCTTATGCACAAAATGTTACATAGTATTGAGAGTGACGAAATTCCCATGAAAAGTATATTTTGCAACTAAAATTCTTTTGAGAAACTGATTTTGTTGCATATATATTTTAAATGTACTGGTGGAAGCGAATTTTCGTGAACTAATATCTCTGACTGTCTCCTTCTCAGGAAGCGAATGTTGGAGCCGCACCGAGGGCCCTTTGCGTCGATTCCATAAGTGCATGCGCTGATATGAAACCCAAATGGAAGCTACTGGCAGACACCAGCTTTGGCAAGGTACCTTAGATGCACTGGTGAAACAAAGGCATTAAAATTATGCCCTTTAAGGGCGTCAACGATTTACGCCCTTAAGGGGGCAGTCTCGTCCCTGTACCCTTTTTTAGGAGGGTTTTCCCCCTCTTTTGATGGCGATGATTTTTCAAATATACCTCTTAGAGACAAACGGTAAAAACCAAATGAAAGAACGGAATTTTTACAACATTTTCAAAAAATAAATTTTGTTTTGTCTTTGGTTGTAAGGGAGTTATAGGTAATTCAACAAAAGCCGGCAAAACATACAAAATTTCACTGCGCGACATTTTTCTCCGGAAGTTCTTAACTTTCTGGCAATTGGTTTGCAGCATTTTAAAGATAAAAAAAAATTGTCTTTACTTTGGCCTACAATCATCCCTATAGCCCAAGGAAAACGTGTTTTATCAACGTATCCAAATATCTCTACAAACTTCGGTATGGTTTTAATAATGGTTTTCCTTGGGCTATAGGGATGATTGTAGGCCAAAGTAAAGACCATTTTTTTATCTTCAAAACGCCGCAAACCAATCGCCAAAAAGTTAAGAACTTCCGGAGAAAAATGTCGCGCAGTGAAATTTTGTATGTTTTGCAGGCTTTTGTTGCACTACCTATAACTCCCTTACGACTGAAGACAAAACAAAATATTTTTTTGAAAATGTTGTAAAAATTCCGTTTTTTCATTTGGTTTTTACCGGTTGTGTCTCAGAGGTAAAAAAATCGTCGCCATCAAAAGAGGGGGGAAAACCCCCTTTAAAAAGGGTTTATGCCTTTGGGAAGGGCATTAAAACTTTGCTTCAAATTCCGATACTATTTACGCCCTAAATAGCGTAATTTTTATGCCTTTGTTTTACCAGTGTGTAGTATATAAGTATATCGCCCACCCAATAAACTCAAGTGTGCTTCAGATTGAAGCATGCCTGCAAGTACATTTCACCTACAGCCAATCTGGCATGTACACTCCGCGCTGCCAGGCGCCAGGCGTGGGTTGCCGGAACTGGCGCAGCATTGCGAAGCCTGATATAAGCCACGGTCTGACGTACACCTACCATGTTAGATATCTTTAGAATGTTGAACTCAAAAACTCCTAAGCAATTCTCATCCAAGACAATGGCATGTAGTATCATTTTTGACGTTTGTTTTGGTGGGACGATTTCATTTCAATGTAAAGCAAAACAACAATGTGTACAGTTTCATAAAGCACAGAAATCTGGTACCCACGAACCCTAGGACGGAGTTTTCGTTTCCGTGCTAAAAAAAAATCTCAGGCACGTCGTTCTTACTGTTTAGGTCCACACCCTGGTCGGCCTGCACTGCGAGCCTGACCCTCAGTGGAGCCTGACCGTGCTCCAGCAGGTTGCGCCACACCTAGAGGGCCTGCAGCTAGTGACCCCCAAGCAGCAGCACATCGATTTGGTGGCGACAATGTCGCGCCTCAAACACCTGTCCATCACCAACTTGGCCGGGGAGCAGCTGCGGGAGGTGAGCAACATGGCGTCGTTGCGCAGCCTGGAGGTACACTGCCAGTTTGCCGCCCCACTGCCGAAGCTCACCTTCCCAGCCACCCCCGTGGGCCTGCAGTGGCTGCGCTGCGGCGTGCACCCGCTGTCCACTGCCCTGGCCCTGGCGCGCGCGCACGCTGACACACTGGAGGAGCTGCAGCTGGTGGCGGCCTCACGGCTGCCGTACGGCTGCCCCGACCTGGCCCAGCAGCTGCAGCGCTGCGGCTTCAAGAAGCTCAAGAAGATCGTTCTGCTGCGGCAGGACGCCTACGACAACTTCTGTCGCCATGGCGAACCAAGCTGCAAAAAGCAGGCTTTGCACATCATGTACTTCCTCTCGGAGAGTAACCTTAGTGTGGACGTGCTGTGTTCTGCTTGCAACCCGGAGAAATTTAAAACGAAGTGACTGCCAATACTTTATTTCACGATCAGCTTACGCGCCACTGTTTTTGTCTGATTTACAATAATAGTCATTAAATCAAAGTGAACTCTTGTCGAATCTCGTAGCTCAAGTGAACATAGCTGGGCACTTTTATCAATTTTTGATCCACTCGGAGATCATTCTGGTCGTTTATCTGTTTGTACGATGTCACAAATCTCACAAAATCAGGTGGTTATCCTAACGAAATTCTCGCTTTTTCCTATCAAGATTTTAGTATTGAAAACGTTTTTGTTACCAACAGAAATGTAATTTTGTATTATTTCTTATGTGAAGTTATGTTACACTTTTGATATATAAATTTGTGTTCGTAATACAGAGTTTTGTGAAATGAAAACTTAAATTGAAAACTTAAAGTTTATTAAAGTTCCCGCACTCCAAATTTTGCATGCCCTGAAACTGGGCGTCTTTGCCGCCTGCTGCACTTTTAAGCGCACAATTCGGCCAGTTTCCAGGAACACCTCTGTCGCGTAGTCTCAGGGTCCACAAATCACCGAGCAACTTGCCTTAACCCGAGGCTCGGCAGCGTGAAAGAAAGGGGCCCAATTGGTTGCCCAGAAACGAGGCACCTGAGCAAGGGAGGGAGCTAGTTGCGCATGATTTGAGGACCCTGAGACCAGGCCCCAAAGGTGCCCAGGGAAGCTGGCCGAAGTAGGCGCCCTGAAAAGTGGAGGCGTCAAAGGCGCCAAATTTGGAGGGTGGTTCTCATACATCTTTCTGAGTTTACTGAAAACCATTTTGAGGTCACTGTCAAGTGAAAAAGGAGACAAGGAGACCATTTAAGTTGTTTTATTCATTTCGGAAACACGACGATGAACTCAGGAACTAGTTGGACTTGGGGTATCCAACTTGAGGGATAAATCCGTCTAACAGTATATTCATT